CGAGTAATAGAATTCAATTTTCTGAAATCTATCTGTGATCGACATTTTCCTTTTTTACTGAAACAGCGAGAGTCGAATAGCTTGAATGAAATTTTCGTATGATCCCATTTTCTAAAATTTCTTTGATTTCATATTCTTCTAGATTTATTTCGAATTAGTTACACCCCTAATTTGTATATATCCTTAGCGAAACAGTCTCGAAACACATTCATAGTATTATTAAAATGTGATCCATATGGTTCCTTTGAATCTTCTAGATTAACTATGACTTCACTCAAATTTGTAGGCCACATTTGTTTGATGCCATTGGACAAAAAGTTGCTGATTTGCAAAAAATTCACTTCCACAGCCCTTGTCAAAATTCTTTCCTTATATTCATTGTCAGTTCCGAACAAAAAACAAGATGGAATCGAATGATGCTCGAAAAAATTATGCTTTCGACAATACTAGCAAACATTTGTTTTTTTTTCGAGCCTTTAGGTACTGAATAGGTACAGTGAGGTTTAATCGTGACGTCCTCGTCTAAAATTTATGAAGAAGTGTTTCTATGACTCATTTTACCAATATATATTTTTTCGCCTTGAATTTGCATTATTATATCTTTATGATTAATAATAGGTTAATAATAATTACGTCAAGTTCACCTGTTTGGCCTCAACGAAATGAATGTCAGATTCTATTGAGAAATTTGTATAATCTGTACAAAATCTATTTTTCCGTTAATCAGCTGTCCCCCCCATACGAACGACAACTTTCAGAAGTTGAGAAACTTGTGCGATCTAAGGACTAACGAGGTTTACCTTTTAACGTGTGATTCCTAACACGGTTGCAGAATCATCCTAGCTTCAACCAGATAAATTCTCTTGATGAAAATATCTGCTTGAGGCGGGAATCGAACCCACGGCCTTCCGATCGTAAGTCGGGCGCATTACCACCGCGGCCAATTCCTAAGACCAACATACCAGAGTTTGACAATTCCAAAAACTTGGATTGCATAAAATATGATTTTGTAACATCGTCCCAGTGATGAATTGCTGCGAGTTTTTCGATTTTGTTGACCCAAGTTCTTGAACTCATGTCTACGACTAAAGGGTCAAAAGTGGGCACAATATCGCTCCTTCCACTGATACTATTCGATTTAAGTTGTTGCGCAGAATCATTCCTAACGCCACTATTGATTGTGAGCTGCATTGGACTTAAAATTTCACTCACTTTTGCGGTAATTAGTTTCTCTATTCTGCGCTTTTTTAGCCGCTTTTCTCCGACCAACCCGATTATCCTCTGATGAGCTTGAAGAATCTTCGGTCACTTCTTCTGTGCGTGATATAGTCGTCATACCTCTCTCGATGTAATCATTGTGGTGGAGGCGACGTCGCTTCGGAGATTCATTATCACTCCCAATATCACTATCACTTTCCATTGCAGTCACACAACACGTGAATTACGAAAATAAATGAAAAATCCCACTTCTGAAATGTAACAGCGGAAAATAAACTACGATGGTTACTGTTCAAAAGTATGCTTTATTCTGTCTTCAAATATATCTTCTAGTCAGTCGTTTGATCACTCAGATTTACATAAGAAGCCAAACACAAAGAAACAAAACGTGTGTCTGACTTAACCCTAAAATGACTAATTACCTGGAGTAGAATAAAATATATAGGGTCTTCCGTTGTTCTAAATAGCAACAGCTTGAATAACAACAAAAATAGTGATAACAATAATAATAATAACTGAAAAGGTGTGGGAATTAGGTTTTTCATGAAAAGTACCAAAAGTTTATTGTCAAAAAAGTTAGGGCCATTTGTAATAAATAATGACAGCGTACGCAGCGCCCTCTGAATGCTTCATAAAAATATGACTTTCCACGTCAAAAAACCCTAGGTACCAAATTTCGTGCAAATAACAATAACACTAGTACCGGTTGTTTCCAGGTAGTTCCTGATAACATTATTTGTTTTGATAGTATATCTATGTTTATTGAATATATAATTATATCGACGCAGTTAATCAACTTTGTATCACCTATCTATACCATTATAGTTAATTGCCTTTATGTCTTCCAAGAATCGGTTTAGATTAGCACTATAAATACTTGACGCTGCTACACCTCAAAAGTCATTATTCATCTTAGTTTTCAAACTAGTAAATGAACCAAACTGTAATGTAACGAAATAAATTCTTTTAAATAGTTTATTTTCCAAGCAAGTTATTTAATTGGCACTACTCAAGTAGAAATCAATCTACTTGATGAATCAATCAAGAGACATGTTGCCAGAATACTCAGGAGGCTCACAAAACCTCGCTTATTTTAAGAAACAAGTAGAAACTTATATTGAATTATTACAAAAATAAGGAGAAAATTGCTTATTCAATAAATTACTCCTTGAACAAGGCAAATCTGAGTTAACCGGAGAAGCTAGAAGAATAACAACCACCTCTGATTGTAGTTAAATGGAGATTGAGATTAGAAGAATGTGATTATGAAGTGAAATACTGCAAAGGTGAAGGAAAGTTTGTGGCTGATGCACTCTCACGTATCGAAATCAATGTTAATGAAAAATTATGCTCTGATATTATAAACGAAAATGACGAAGATTCGTTATCATTATTTCTAAACGTGGATACAGATGAAGATCTTGAGTAAATATTATATAATTCCGACGAAATACTCGCAAATAGTCCTGAGATACCAGAAGGTGCATCTACCCAGTATACAGCGAAAGAAAATCTAATTTTCACGACACCCATCTCTTAAAAACTACTTAACTATTTCGCTTATAGAATAGAATTGAAAATACATTATAAAATATTTGTTCGTATTGGTCAAGAAAGAGAAAATCTAAAGAATTCGCTCAAAGAAATAATCAACCCTTCTAACGCATATGGAATTTACTTTCATAGTCCCGATTCAGAAAAAGTCTATATTGAAACTGTTCAAGATTTATTCAACGAAAGTGTGAAAATTCTAAAATATATTATAATATGTAAAGACACAGAAAAGAGTGGAGTACAATACCGAGTAATTGAAGTAATAATGAAACATTCAATCAATCAAAAACTAAATATTATTGGTCAGATATGAAAACAAAAATCAATAAAGTCATTTACGAATATGAAATATGCCCAGAGAATAAATATTATTATGACAGGCATCTCTACAATACATCATTGCAAGGACCAATGCTTGCCACAAAACCATTCGAAGTAATCCACATGGATACATTCGGCTTCGAAGGATCAATATTTTTAATAATATAGACCTATTCTCAAAATACGCACAGGCATATCATATTAACGACGTTATAGGAAGAACAATCATCACTGAGTTCACATCACAATAACGCTACTAAAATAGTATGAGATGAAGGGAAGTAACTTAAAAATAAAGTTTTCGAAGAACATTACAATCTATTCAGAATCAAAATACATTATGTTACTAACTATAATCCAAACTCTGATTCGCCAATTGAAAGACTACATTCAACGCTTTTGGAGAGAATTAGAATTTTAAAAGGAAAGAACAAAAACGAGACCCCACAAAATTTAATGATCACCGCCTGTCTTCTATATAACCAATCTGTGCATTCAACCACGGAGTTTACACCTTATAGTTTACTTCACGGACCGTACGGCAACCTAAATGCTTAGAAATTCAGATTTTAGAAAAGAATTCACGAAAATTATAATGACAGAAGAAAACAAGGACTCTTACTATTCTATGAAGAGCTTTATTATAAACAATTAGAAAAAGGAACAGCTATTTTGAATAAACGTAATGAAAAAATAGTCCACTCTTGAATGAACCTCAGTATTACTTCAGAAAACCTAGAACTAGGAAAACAGAGCCCGTTTTTGAAATAGTTAAAGTAACCAATATTGAACGAAACAAAGTAACTGGAGCTAGTGAAAAAACACAAACAACAGCAAATATACATGTAAGAAAAGTGAAAAAATTAGGAAAAATATTTTTTCACAGGACAATCCCCCCGGGAATCTCCCTGGCCCTCCAAGTAGAAAAAATGAAATCGAATGGATTTTTTTCAGAAGAATTAGGCCTAGCAAAAATTATCAATCAATCACCACCACAAGTTATATTTCTATTTTAATATCAGTCAAATATCTTTAAATTACGCTAGTTACGTGGTCATAGAGATATTCCAAGAATCCCTTATCTCGACATGCAGTTAGCATCCAGTTAACATTATATTAATTATTATTCTGTTTGTAGCTCTCGTAAGAGACAGTCGTCTCTAGTTTGTAAAATAAATTATTTTTAAAAAGTTATTTTCTCATTTCAATCATTTAATTCGTTAGTCACTAATACGTATTTATTGGAAATTTGAGTTAACAACTTCCGATTGCAGAATACATTATCACCCACACTTCATAAACCTTGTTTACAAATTGAAAACGAAATATTGAAAATGAAACCAAGAAGTAAAAGAGCCTTATTAAATGCTCTAGGTTCAATGAATAGATACATTGCCGGTAATTTGGATCAAACGGATTTACATGAACTAAACCAAAACGATCAAGAGGAAAGAGTTAAACAAGTCAACAAGTTTTCGTCATTTGCAAATCACTTAACTGACAGATATGCAACAGATCTGAATATGATCCAAGAAAACCTCAATCATTCTTTTGATATTATTTTCGAATTAAACGAAACATTAAGTATTGAATTGATGATGCAACAACACATTTTTAATGCCCAGAATCTTTTAAAAATCATAAAATCAATTCAGAGAACAATCTTTCTAGCCTTCGAAAAATAACTAATTTAGAAATATTCCAGAGTAATGAATTGAGGAAGATTACAAAAAATTCAGGACATACCTATCAGCCAAATCAATTAATCGATATTGACAAAAATCACCAATTTAAAGTGGTAGAATTCTTGAAAATCAAATTAGTAATAATCAATAGAAACTACTTTCATTGAACTTTCATATATTTTTCCCCAGGAATTATTATAGTATTCGTTTCTATATTTCTAGGATGATATAGTCGTTCAACTCTGGGAGAAGAAGGAAAAAATTCGTGGTCATGTTCTGAAAAGTGGAAAAGGATTGGACCACTATGCTTTTCAAGAAATTCCGTATGCTGCACCGCCCACTGGTCAAAATAGGTTCAAGGTATGATATCAACCAAAACTATGTTGATGTTATTGTATTGGAGAACAATTTCCATATTTGTTCGAATTGTGGAAGATGAAAAAACCCGAAGAAGGTCGTTAAAAAGTTAGATTTCATCTACAAAAAATACTTTCGATCAGTCAAACAGTTGGTACAAATTAGTGTGCAAATAGAGTAAACAATATGAAAGTAGCATTGACTTCAAATTGAATTTGAAAATTATGTTCAAGATAGATAACAAATAAAGAATCGAATTGTAAATAAAAATTCTCAAATATATAAATAGATGTATATGTAAAAAATTAAGCATATCATCGACCTCTCTAGTATGAATATGTACTCTACATGAAATGAAGTACAGAATAAAAGCAATTTCGTTTGAGGTACTCTCTGATTATCCTTTTGAACAAATTAAATATCAATTTAGTCACCTTATATGGAAATTTGTTGAATAATTTAACGTCCAAAGAATTTCGTAATGACATTTTGAATCTAAATCGTTGTTGCCTGGGTTGTCCTGCATTTTTAGTTTTGGAGAATAGTATTTTGTTTCTATGTATTTCTAACAGTGATTAGAAAATCAACATGCAGGGCAAATCCATTATTTTCAATTTTCGGTAAAGTGGTTGACAGTTTGCATCGAATGGAGCTCTAGCTATAATTCTGATGGCTTTTTCTGTATGCGAAAAGTTCTGATCCAAATTGGATATTGGTGTGTTTTCTATAATGTTATCCAATTTGGTACTGAAGAGCCTTGGGGCAAGTGTCTTAAGGCGAAACATCGGTGTATACCAGTGAGGATGGCAGTGTTCTATGTAAGTGCAATTTGTTACCATTCATTTAAAGTAGAACTCATGTGAATGATATCTGAATTTTATTCCACAACGAATGTTTGAAATACAAACTGAGTAGAGAAAAGTATCTTCTGTATAATTCAGTGTTCATATAGAAGTATTTTTTTCGAAAGAATTTTTTCTTTCGTATAATTCAATGTTTATATGAAAGTAGCTGTTTCAAGAGGACTTTTTTTCAGTTTGTGTCTGAAAGTTACTTCTTTGCATGATCTACACATCCATGTATAGAGTTACTTCCTTCCTTTCTTTGGACTTCTTTTTGTATCAAGTAGAAAGTCAAAAATTTTTTTCCCAAAAAGTTACTCTGCTTTTGAAGGACTTTTGTCTAATTTCTATCGTCTCAGAAAAAATGTTAATTTTTCCGAATATTTTCATTTGACAGTTCAGTATCTGTAGAGTAGGGAGGGTGAGTGTAAGCCCACGCACTTAGGCCACATGTGACCCATTGTACATCCTCCCGAGGAGTTGTCCTCCTAGATCGTCGTCCATCCTGTCCTTTCCAGGAAGGTGGACAGGTCGCTGGGAGACATCTCTTTTATATCGGCAGGTGTAGGCCAAGACTCGCCGAACACACACTCTCTTATTGACGATAACTCCGGGCACTCGCACAGGACATGCCTGACATTTGACAGTTATTTTTGCAATATGTTATGCCACAGAAGCTCTGATTTTGATGCCATTACTGCTCTATTCAAGATGGAAATTATTCATTTTTCATTTTCAGTTGATGGAACAACGAGATTTCACTATTCGGTGAAATCAAACTTGAATGATTGTATTTCTTGATTATATGAATTTTTAAAAAAAATTTATACATACTTAATGTATTAATCCACTACTTTATGAAAGTACAAGCTGCAACAAAAATATTCTCATATCAATTTATGTTTGTGAGTATGTTGAAACTCATTGCTTACTCTGTTATTTAGGAGCCTAAAGAACCTGATGATTGGAAAGGAATATTGAACACCACTGTAAACAAAAGAGTTTGTATGCAGGCGTTATCTTACCTTAACGTTCCCGATTCTATGAAAATGTCTGAAGATTGCCTTTTTTTAAACGTATATACTCCGATGGTGAGTACATTTGTCATTATATTCCATTTGAAGAAATTTGTTTCTGTTCTTAAATATGTCTGATTAACTACCTGTTACAAATAAAGTATGAATATTTTTACAGGAAAAATGAGAAGATCAATTGACGATTCTCTAAGATAATGTTTCGAGACCAATTATTTCGAAACGTATTATACTACTCTATTTGCCCTATACATCGTTGGGAGTCATACAGAAATTTGCTGTATAGTAAATACTTGTAATGAGATCTCTAAATTAATAAGTGAATATAATTTCGAACAGCAACGTTTCTGTACGCATTTTTCGATTTTTCAAAGGTATGATGAGTACCTACATATACAAAGTTCTTGAAAAGTTGTAGAGTGCTGGCAATACGATTTAGGGATATGTTAGAAAAAAAAATACTTTCGCAAAATACACATTGCCCATACAGATCAGTGTTTGGGAAAGAAGACGACACAAATCATAGTACATAGTACCAAGTCTGATAATTTTGGTACATTTTAACAAAACATTGGTTAAATGCAGTGTATTCCAGTCAAGAAGAGCCACTCTGAATGGGTCATTCGATACTGGGACTGTGAAAAAATCGCGAAACTCTGAAAATCAGCTCTTTTCAGTTCCTTATCATCCACTACCCTCCCACAAAAAATATTATGTCATGAATTTCAAATGAAAATACAAATGAAAATAATAGTCGAGTGATAACTCATTTGGAAGATCTCTCAATTCTGTATTCAATATGGTCCTTAATTTCAAGACGTGGTTAATGCTGAAGTAGTTTATGTTTATGCCAACTATCAGCTCAGTTTCATTATTAAAATTTTTTATTTTTGCACTATCTGAATTTGATTTATTATATATGGACACAATAATTCTGCAAGTGCTCAACAAGAATTATCAGCACATAAATATAAGACATAAATATGTATTGAAATTGTTACATGAACACAAAAAGGATTTCAAACTTCTATTTATTTATTGGCGAGCGAGCGCTTTCGACAGCTGGTCGTGCTATGATAATCTAGAGTAGGCTAGAAGTAATAAAGCTTCAAATTCTTTTTGTGACTTGATAAATTTTCACTTATACTGACATTTTTAGAGAGAAATTAAAAATGTGCTATAAAAATTTTAACATGACTGGTGTAAAGTTTCAATCACTTGGCTATTTTCTTAAACAAATGTCAGTACCTTCAATTTTGAAAAAGCAGACACAACTCAAGAACTGCAATGATTATTAATAAAATCACTAGAGTTGAAATTACATTAAAATTTCAATATTCAGTATTTACAGATTATTTATAAACACTAACTAGGGCGGTAAGGATGCTTAATCACGTTGAATAAAATTTTCAAGTAGGTCTTGACAAACAAAATGCATGCTATGGTAGTGTCAAGTTGTTGATTTACTTGTCAAATTTTCAACTGTTATTGTTGCAATAATGTTGTCACTTCAGGAAAGAATAGAAATAGTTTTAATATGTGGTGAGAATACACCATACCAGCATGTAGCTAACATTTTCAATGAACGGCATCTAGGAAAAAATGTTCAACATACTAGTGTGTCAAGGATAATGTCGAAATTCAGAGAAACAGGATCCGTAGCAAATCAATTTAAGAAAAAGCACACTCCAACTAAATATGATGAGGAGGCCCAACTCAACATTTGTTTAAAAGTTATTGAACACGGGCAAACGAGCATAACCGATATTATAAAAAATACCGATTACAAGAGAGAAAGTGTTAGAAAATTTTTATTAAAGAATAAATTTTGGCCTTACGAGCCAAAATTTATTAACACATTAAAAGAACGAGATTTTGATGTCCATTTGGGGTTTTCATTCTGGTTTCAAGGAGAGAAAGAAGATATTGTAAAGTTTCCGTATGAAATTTTATGGACAGATGAGGCAACGTTCTCTTCAAATGGAACGGTAAGTTCTCAAAATTGCCGATGGTGGGCCCAAGAAAATCCCAATTTCACAGTTGAATGTGGTGATCAGTTTTCCCAAATGTCCATGTGGTTTCTCTTGTTTACTTGTTTAATGAGTTTTATGTTCTCTGGTGAGGGGAAATTATGTTTGTTTTGTATGGCGTGTGTTGCTAGGTTTGATTCATATACTATTGGATTTATGTATGCCTATTTGTGCGCATTGTACCTTTGGATCAGTTTTTTCATGGTTTGGCCGATATAGAATTCGTTGCAGTCCGAGCATTGTATACTGTATATCCAGTTATGGTCTTTGCTTTTTCATAGTTGTTTATTTTTTGTGTTATCTTCGTGTTTAGCTTGTATGTGATGTTGATGTTCAGTGGTTTGAAGACGTTTGTTAGTTTTTTGGTTTGGTGTCCTACGTACGTCAATGCTGTCCATCGTTGTGTTGTTTTGTCTGTTGAGGTGGCTTGATCCTTGTTCTGTATTTTTTGTTTGATTCTGTTTTCTAGTTTATCTATTGTCTTTTGGGTGTATCCGTTTTCGTTCGCTATTTGGTATATGACTTTCCGTTCTTTGTTTCGGGCTTCATTGCTGAGTGGTATCCTTAACATTCTATATATGAATGCGTTATAGGCAGCCATTTTGTGTGCTGGTGGATGGTTTGAACTTGCGGGTATGGAGCTTGTTTGTGTAGGTTTCCTGTGTATTGCCATTTGAAATTGTGTTTTGTTGTGGTTATATCCTATGGTTATGTCCAGGTAGTTAAGTTTCGGGTTGTGTTCTTCCTCAATGCTGAAATATAGTTTTTGATTTATTTCGTTAATTTCTTTTTTTATTTGATCTATTGTTATTCCATTGTTTTGTGATATGTACAGTCCATCGTCAACGTATCTGAATCATTCTCCTTTTTCATTATGTGTTTTTATTATTGTCAAGATTTTCTCATCTATAGTTTGCAGGTATATTTCGGATATAATGCTAGATAGTGGGGATCCCATCGCTAGTCCATCTGTTTGTTTATAAATTTTCCCTTCAGATTCGAAATGATTTTGGTTAAGTATTGTATTTAGACTGTGTTCCATTTGGTTGATATAGGTTTTGTATATATTTTGGTGTTTTAGTTTCTCAGATATGATGTTTATACTTTCGTTGATTGGTATGTTGGAGTACATGTACATGAGATTTTGTCTGTGAGTTCCATTGAATTATTGATGCTGTGGTCGTTGTTCTTGTTGATTTTGTTTATCAGTTCGTCGGCTATGATTTTTGAAATTTTGTATGAAGGTGCTTTGGTGAAATTGATAACCGGTCTTATAGGTTTATTTTCCTTATGTATCTTCATCTGTGCGTTGAATTTTGGTGTTTTTGAGTTGTCGACTGTGTATCTGTTCAATGTTTTGTTGTTAAAGATCTGTTTGTTGGATTTTATTGGGCTATTAATTTGTCTTTCATATTTTGTGGTTGGATCGTGATTCATCGTGCTAAAATCGTTTTCCGTTATATAATTGTTCACTTTCATACTTAATTCCTGTTTTTCAAAAATAACTGTGGCGTCACTTTTGTCGGCTTTAACTGCTGTGAGGTTGTTGGAGATCAATTTCTTTTTTATTGATTTGATGGCTTTCGTGATTGCTGGTTTCTCCGGAGTCTTTTCTGGTTTTTTGATTATTTGTTTCAGCGTGTTGATTGTTTCTTATCTGATTTCGTCTACTTTTGATGCTTCTACTTGGTTCAAAGCCATCTCTGTTTCAACAATTAGGTTCTCAATGGTTTGTGGCGTGATTTTCTGGTATGAACTGAGTTTTCAAGTGTTTGTATTTCTATATCGTTGAAGTGTACGTTTGTTAAGTTGATGACTCTCGGATGGCATGTGTGGTGTTTTCTCATCGTTGTTCTGTCCTTATCTTGTTTCTGTATCAATGTGTTCAGTTTTTTGTTTAGTTTTTGATATGTGTTCTCCTTGAGTTGGTGGTTTTTCCTAGATATATCTGCGTATTTTTCATTCCACTTTTCAGCCGTTAGTACTTTTGCTAGGTGTAGATGTGTTTTTTGGCTGAGTGTGAATAGGGGTGAGCCACAATAAACCCTTGCGGGTTGCGGTATAGGGTTGAACTACTCACTTTGGACCTAACCTAACCTAACCCCTATCGCACCCCCAGACCATGTCTTCCATTGTTTTCAAATGGATCATCCTGTATTGTTTCATATTATGAGATGTTCCATGATGAGCAGATTTCAATAAAGTACAAAACATATTAGAAATCACACGTTAAAAGTAAAGACCTCGTTAGTCCTTAGCTCGCACAAGTTTCTCAACTTCTGAGAGTTGTCGTTCGTATGGGGGCGACAGCTGATTAACGGAAAAACAGATTTTAAACAGATTAAACAGAACAGATATGGTCTGAAGCTTATGGTTCGGGAGCCTTAAGTTATTTGAGTTGAAAACAAGTCACCCTGAATCACTTTTGGAACAATGATTTTCAGGAAAAATGAAAAAACACCTCAACAATAGTATACATGGGGACACATTTTGACATATCAATATTTGATCTAACTTTTCCTATCGTACCCCCAGATTTCAACAAATTAGAATACATTATGGTATGTAGCTCATAGGTTGAAAGCTAAAACTTATTTGAGTTTAGAACGAGCCACCCGGAATGAACTTCTGTATAATCTGTTACCTAGACTTTATAGGTTTTATAGTTAAGTTTGAATTCGATATTCTCTTCATTTTGTATTTGTCTCATTCTATAATAACGATTACCTACCAGGTGAGGTTACAATTGATGTTTCGGTTTTTGTGAATTCTTGAGAAACAATGGTTTATACGCTTCAAGAATGGATTGAAATATTGAGTTTGTACTACTGGTACAGAATGGAAATAGTGCTAGAGCTGCTGCCCGTACGTTCAATGTTAGTTAATCATCGAGTACGACACAAATACGTTTCGGAATTATTTAACAAATTTATGTAAACTGGATCCGTTAACAATAAAAATCATAACCGCTCAGGAGTTGTCAACGATGAAGCTATTTGTACTGCAGTTTTAGGGTTCGTTGGACTAATGGAAAATTCGCAATCTCTTACTAAGTTATCTGGAGAACCAGGAATCAGTGGTACAGATATTTTCAGGATTCTGCATAAGTACAAATTTCATCCATATAAGATCAGACTAGTTCATGAATTGAACGAAGATGATTTCGATAGAAGTATCGAGTTTTGTGAAAGTCTCACTGAACAGATCAACTTGCATCAGAATTTCTTGTATGAAATTTGTTTTTCGGATGAATGTACGTTTAGTTTGAATGGAGAAGTGAATCGGCAAAATTGTCGATATCGTAGTGATACGAATCCTCATTTATTTCGTCAAGTTCATTCTCAACAACATCAAAAACTGAATGTTTGGGCAGGAATTTTAGGTGAACACATCGTAGGACCTTTTTAATCGACGATGATTTGACTAGTGATAAATCTGTCATTAAGCAGCTGTCGCCCCCTTACGAACGACAACTCTCAGAAGTTGAGAAACTTGTGTGAGCTAAGGACTAAGAAGGTCTTACCTTTTAACGTTTGATTCCTAACACGGTTGCAGAATCATCTCCGCTTCAACCAGATACGTTCTCTCGAGAAAAATATCTGGTCGAGGCGGGAATCCAACCCACGATCTTCCGATCGAGAGTCGGGCGCATTACCACCGCGGCCAATTCCACAACAAAGTGATAAATATTTGGGTACTTTGGAGAATCGAATAATACTGTGCATCAAATAGATAATTGAGGAAGGAATAAATTGATTCGAAAACGAAAAAGTTTTTCAGCAGGTTGGTGCACCTCTTCATCATGCAGCTCTAGTGCGACACTTTTTCTGGTCATTGGATTGGCAGCGCTGGATTGGTAGAATGGCCACCAAGGTCTCTGGATCTCACTCTAGAACGAATATTTCAAAATGTGGCCTCCTGCATAATTGTTGACCTGTTTTTTATTCTTCCTGCAAATCATTGTTTCAAAAGTTATTCAGGGTGGCTCGTTTTCAACTCAGATAATTTGTAGCTCCCGAATCATAAGCTTCAGACCATATGTTTTATTCTTTGTTAGAATCTGCTCATCATGGAGCATCTGATATTGTGAAAGAATATAGGGTGATCCATTTAAAAAAATTGTTGACATGCTCTGGGGGTGCGATAGGGGAAGTAACATCAAATGTTAATGTGTCAAAATGTATCCCCCTATGTACTATTGATGAAGTGTAACTTAATTTTTCCTGAAAATCCTTCTACCAAAAGTTATTCTGGGTGGCTTGTTTCAATTGGAATGCATTGTATTAATTATTATATCATTGTCATTACTGTTGTCATCATTGATTTCATTGACGTGGATTGTAGGTGGAAGATTAGTACAGCTATCACCATTGCATTCCAAGAAGGCCACAGTGCAATTCAATCTACTTTTCCTGAACCTTCAAGATTCTCCACATCCTGTTTTGCATGCGCAAAAAATAATATTTAATAAAAATTCTGGAACAGATCGCTGCGTTATTGTTCGCGATATCAGTTTCCCGCATTCATATTTCCAACCACATTCTTCTGGTGATATTTCTCTTCCGAGTCATGTTTGAATTTGCAGATATACTCAGTTGTTAGTTAAAACAGAAAAAAATGAGCAAAAATAAATTTGATGACATTGTTCTAATTGAAAATGAATTCACTTCATTGTGATGCAGAATATTTCGATGTTTTTCTTTAAATGATTCACTTTTCAGGTTAACTAGAATTATTTAGCTGCGAAAGCCATTCATTGAAATCTGAAGTAGCCCATTCCAATAAAGATACAAAGTTAAACTTTTGTCTCAGAAGTCACTTACCTATTTTAAAGATTTGTAGGATGTTCATTTTTGTGAAAAATCAAATTATTAATTTTCTTCTAGAAATCTGGAATGAAGATCGAAAGAATTTGGCTAAGTATAAACCTTGTTTCTGTTTCAGAAACCCGGAAATGGAGAAAAAGCATCACTGTCTGTATTGTTCTGGATTCACGGAGGAGCATATTTTTTTGGTTCTGGAGCATATCAGTACTACAATCCCAAATTTTTCATTGATGCTGGTATTGTTGTTGTGACAATTAATTATCGCCTTGGTCCCTTTGGTAATGAATTTTTTGTAGACTCGATATTTATTTCATGATTCTATTGTTATTATTAATGAATGACACTCGACACAAAACGGTCGTTAATTCATCAGACACAGATGGAAACAGACCTTGAAAATCTCTAAAGTTACAGTAAGTTATTGATATTTCAATATACAAACAAATTGCTTAGAGCACAAAAGAATTAAAACAAGAATGTAGTATAGTAGAAAAATCAATATAATTGATACCCTGTGAACATATGGATTGAGTTCAGCACATTTTTGCTGGATAGTTTCATATCTGCTTATGATAATGAAGTTTCTATTACTAATAATAACATCAATTTAACAGGGTAATTTTGAATAAAGAATAAAATCGAGTATACCACCCATATATCAGTTTTCTGATTGATTCTGCCGATACGATATGGTCAAACATATCATTTAAAAATCGCATCCAAGACCATCATATTATCTATGTCAATGAGAAAACAAGTTTAACATATTCAAATCATCTTTCAGAAAAAATTATATCTTTAACGGCATTTTGAAATTTTACGCATTGAAAATAAAGGTTTGAAGCCAAATTATTTGAGAGCAATGGAAATTCGTAAACTCAAAAACTCAGACATTTTACTGAATGACTAATTGGATTTGAACAGCTCACCATTACTGAATTTGTTTTCTTAGAAACCAAAATTGTATTATCGATGCAGAATTGGTATAATATGCTGTAGGTAAATATAATTTGAGGATGTACCCTAGGAATATTAAAGTTAGGTAGATGCTTTAGGTAATTATGATCGAAGAAGTACTTGTATATTTCAAATTAAGCATAATGTTCAAAATAACAATATTCATATTTTTCAGATTGTGGAAGGCGGAAAATCTTAAAAGAGGTCGATAAAAACAATAAAGAAATAAAAATATGTTCCGAATATCTATATCATTATGTATTGAATGGTTGATGACCCACAAACATTCAAAGGATCTGCAATGAACTATATTTTTTGTGTTCAATATTCATATCTCAATTATTTCAACCAGTAAAAACGAATACTGTAAACAGTGTATTATGATCAGTACCTCTAAATGTTTTTAACGATGACAGAACACTAGTGCTGATTACTTTTTGAGTAAATTGTAAACCAGATTATACAATATATTTCAGTATTGTGTAAATATACCGCTCCTTCAACTACATTTTCAGGGTTTCTTACAACGGCCGATGGAGTTATTCCTGCAAATTTGGGACTGAAAGATACGATTCTGGCATTGAAATGGGTTCATCGCAATATTCACTTGTTTGGTGGAGACTCCAAGAGAATTACTGTTGCAGGACAGAGTGTTGGTGCATATTCCGCTGGTTATTTGCAACTTAACAGAGAACTCCGAGGTATATATTGAATATTGATTTTCATGAAATTATTTTCCAGCAGCTTGACTGCATTATATATAAAGTTGAGAATCTAAGCGACTGGAGAAATGAAGAACCTTCCCACTAGACGCGAAAGCTTGGCAAAGTAAAGCAGAGTTTTGATTTTTGATCAAAACCCTAGGCACCCTTCAAACTTCAAAGTTTTTTTCAAGATCCCGAGATCTACCTGAAAGAGTGTAAATTCTAAATTCTGAAGTATATTTATAATTAGTAGCATTATAATGACTCATCAAACCTCTACCCCTTGAGAGGGTAATGGTGGTTCTGATCATAGGGGTTCTTGGTGGAATGATGGACACGCTGCTCTCCAATCTAAAAATCATACCGGTTTGCCGGTATAATTCTCATACCGGCAAACCGGTACTTGGTTCACTACGGCTACTCAGTGCACATGATTCTCGGACCCAGTAATCACTCACCCCACGGACGTGGGGTGAGTGATTACTGTCTCTGTTCTCTGTCGGAGACAGAGAAAAATGAGAACTCTTTTTTCTGTTCAAGCTTTCGAGACTTTATTGACTCTTCTTCAGGAACTCTAGATAATAAGATAAAAATTAACAATTGTCAAAATTTGTTGTACATTATTTACGAAAGTTGAGGTTATGTATATGAAGCAAGCAAGGGAAGAATTGTTTTCTTAAAACACTTCGAGAATGTGATGATTTATGAACACTCATGATACTGGATAACTGGTTAAAACTGGGAACATTATAATAAAATGTGGATGGCACTAATAACATTAGATTGTTGTAAAATAAAATTTTTTAATTTTTTTATACATCTTGTGAAAGGGACATGTCCAAGTCAACTGTCAATTGTCTTGTCAAAAAATATTTTCTAAAATATTGGAAAAGGAGAAAAGATCCATGTCTGTGGTATGGAATGCAAAAGTGACTAAGTTTATCATCAGACAGGAATAAAGTGCAATTGAAATTTGTGATGAATTTTCAAAAATAAATTGAATAGAATTTTGTTTTGGTTAACATCTTGGAAGAGTGAACAGTTGTCTTGTCATTTACAGCACATATTGAANTATATTCCAAATTTCCTTTTTCTATCTCTAGGGGTTGTGTATTATAGTTCAATTTACATTTTTTGGCATATCCTGTTTTTTAGTTATTCGTGACAACCAATTGAAGCTGTTGCTAAGACTACCTAAACAAATAGGCTAATGAATATGCTGTCACTTTTAAAAATTCATTTGTTGTGTAGTTTATAATTATATATGGCAAATTATACTATGAACGTGAAAATTGACATGTTGCTAATTTACAGAGGAATAAAAAAGAATGCAACCGATGCAGGTCGAATGTATGCTCAGAGGTTCCCTACACGTCGCCATCCTACTCGGCTTTATTTTCCAAAACTGGAAATAAAAATGCGAAATGAACCAGAAGAAAATTCCAATAACTTCATCGTCAGTGAAGAAAATGAAGTAGACTTGTTGGCCTATGTTAAAGTAAATTGTACGGCGTCAATTCGCCAAATTGTTTGAGTGTGTTATAAGTTATTCGTTCGTTTGGAGAATTCTTCACAAATATAATTGTCGATCATCCAAGTATCAACTACACCAACATTTTTACGATAACGATCACAACTAAAGATTGACTTATTGCTACTGATTTTTGACTAAATACAGAAAAGATGTACGTTTTCCATTTGAAAATATTTATTCAGATGAAACCCAATTCACCAACTTGGGTATGTTCAATAGAAATAATAAAAGGTAATGGTCTCAAACAAATTTAGATCTGATGCAACAAGGAAATTTTCAAGAGCAAATTGGTTTCAATTGCTAGATGGGTACTCGTGAAGAACTAGAGCATAAAGTAAGGGTGACATTCCAGAACAGCTAATCAATGTGATGCGCGCAATAATTGAAAAAGTTGAACTTTGCCGTGATCAAGAAGGAGGCCATTTTGAAAATGTGTAACCTTAATGGACTAATTTGCTACGCCTTGCAATTATTCAGAAAAATAGAGAAAATAAAGTGAAAGTGTGTGGCATCAAAAACATACAAACTTTTTAAAAATCACATAAGCCACATTTTTACTTTCTCAAGTTTTTGGTTAAGGGAGTGACAACCAGGTATTCTACAATGAATTTTTTATCCTAATCCTATGAAACAGCAATATTTATTCGTTCCATAAACAAAATGATATGATGGAGTCAATGAGACCAATATATTAGGTTACAGGTATTTTCTGGTTTTCTTATCGGTTTAAAACGTATAAATGAAAATTATATTTGTATTTCCACTTCTCCTTCATTAAACAAAATATGTCGTTGTGATTTGAAAGAAATAATTGTAATATTATCCAAAACGGTGCTGATGCATTGCTAAGACAAATGTCTTGTCCAGCAACTTCGAAGTACATCATCGAGGATGATAGTGTTCTATGTAAGTGACAATAATCTTTCATATAACACATTGTGTAACACTGGTATGAATGATCTCTGTTTTAATTCCTTAACGAATGTTCATTGTAAACACTGAATGGGAAAAAGTGATTTGCATGTGCATATGAAAGTAATTGTTCCGAAAATATTTTTCTTTTCATGAAATTTAATGTTATGTGAAAGTACTTGTTACGATATATAGTTACAACTACAACTTTATGAAGAGTTTTCATTGTAGTTATTTTTTCCTCCTTTATTTGGGATTTTCCCACATTTTTTGTTTATTGATGGAGAAGTAGAAAGCCAAATCTTTTTCACAAAAAATATTCATTTTACAATTTTCCTTCTGGTAAGTCAATGATTCATTCAGTATGAGTATATTATTCGCTGGACGGATTAAAAGATATGCTCATTTCATTTTCAATTTAATATGGAAGTGAAGCTTTATAATTGAATATATAACTTCAATGTGTGTATCGACGAAATAAATAGCTAGAATCAAAAACTTTGACGTAAAGAAGGTATATTGAAAACAGAACTATAGCACTTTTTCTCAACACGCATTTCGAGTTATCAGAAGACAGCTGAAACTGATGAAGCTATTTTGTATAGAGAAACGCGTGACGAGATAAAATGCTTTAGTTCTAATATGCAAAAAAATTGTCTTCATTGGATACTTTCGAACTGTAATTTTATCGACCATAGTTTTGAATACCATATTCTCATTTAAAGGTAAAATTCATGGATTTATATTGGAAAGTGGTTCGCCTTTGTCGCCGGTAGCCATACAAGATGATCCAAGACATTTTGCTTTTTCATAAATGAATATTTAGAAATGGAATCTCAAAACATCCATCTCTTCCAACGTATGTACACAGTAGGTTCTGGTGAATGCTTGCCGGAAAACAACTAATGCCCCGGCTAATACCACGATGGACATTGAATTATATCCGACAGAAATTAATGCAAGTCTTGTCTTAGAAATTGGTTTCAGACTGAAGATGTAAATCAGTGGTTATTCTGCTTGGTGGCACCGATAGCGTTAGTTGGTTAATGCGGTTTCGAATCCCGGTCAGATCACATTTTTTCAATTCAGTTTGTCATTTATATGTGTGCATACCACAAATTCGATCTATAGTTCCGTTATAATCAAAACGAGCACAAGAAGAGTACACACCATAAGAACTCCCAAAGGAAAACAATGGTATCTTCCACGCCATACAGTGTTCTTAGAGTTTTGAAGGAGAAACTCAAATGTAAATAATCATAGAATGGAAAGACACCAGCTGATAGAAAAAAAGGAAGTAAACCGACTTGGAAAAGACAACGAAGCATTATTAGGTGATACAATTACAACTCATGTGGATGTAGTTAAAATGATTGCGACAAAAATGAAGAATTAGAATTTATTCAATTGGATTCTAGAATGTTGTTCTTCGAAAAAGAAAACATTTAATTTTCGGTTTACCCCTTTTAGTTTGTTAAGTATCAGCAACCACAAATTATCTCATTTTATTTATTATTTTCGATATTTTTGACTCAGGTTTTTCTCATTCCTACTTATTTGCTCTTATGGATTACCTCATTAAAGAATTGTCTGTATTAGTCCAAAGTATGTATTAGTACAAAAAGTTCTATATGAAAACATTGAGATTGACAGATTTCACGTTCACTATACTCATATAATCCTATATTGCAAACTGAACTTATTCTGAAAGAAATTATAGAAATTTGAAAGTGAAATGAAATATGTATTTTAATTGGTGATCTCAATATCTCAAGATTGATTAGGATAATATAGCACCAATTTCCTGAAAAATTATCTTTTCAACCTTGACTGAAGAAGATAAAGACTTCCACAGTAATGGAACATGTCTTCACACTTGTATAGTGAGGAACAGTAATAGTGTAGCGTCATTCTTATGGACGTATTCTCAAATGGAAAGGGCATATTAAACGAAATTCAATCTGTGTAGAGGAAATCAGAGATTCGATCGATTTTTTTGGGGGATTTTCACTTCTCATCATCTGAAAAAAAAAATATAGAATTGGTAACGATTTTAGAGGTGTAGAAACGATTAATTTTTCGGTTCGATAAGTTACTGAGTAAATTCAAAGTATTTTTCCATAAGGAAAATATACTGTTTATCAGTCACTTGTCGTATTCAATAGTTTTGTCTATCAAAAAAATAATTTATACAGATACTTATCCTAACGTTTCGGAGGCTGAAATCTGCCTCCGTCTTCAGAATTGGAAAATATCAAATGATACTCGAAGTTTCTCTTCGCTGATTTGTTTCATTCACAATGTGAAATGTAAAATGTTTCATTGTTATTGATTGACTTCTGAAACATTCGATATAGTACAAGGAGTTCTCTAATATTAGTCTTGCAATGTCGCCATTATTCATATCTTTATTCAAGACGGCTATCCAAATACAACGCATTTCTGAGAAGCTGTTCGAAATACAATTCTCTCCAGATATAAGAATATATACTGATTATCTGAGCTTACGTCTCTTAGAGTGGAGTTCAAATCATTTTCGTATTGGTTATATTCAACCTGATGTTAACCGTGTGATTTCAGAACGTGTTTTGACAATTTTGTACGTGTTAATTGTTTATATATAATCTCTGATATAATCTCGATATCTATTCTCACATACTTCAAATGGTCTTGAAGTTTCTCCAATATCATTTTCACCATATGAAATGTATTTTTTTTTCTGTCTTCTATATTTTTGGGTTCCGTATGTGTGAGTTCATATCTCAGTGTACTTGTTGTTTAAGTGATATTAGTGATTGCATGATGTGACCCTGATGGTTTTTGTTTTTCCATTGGGTATCTGCCACACGTGCCTACAATGTCGTAGGTTCACACGAGAGGCAAGGATGAGGTGGTTTCACCTATACTCGAGCATATGGTATGCACCTTTACGCATTATGTTTATGAGTATGTGTTTGAGGAGTTGTTTCCAGGCTTTGTCTGCGTAGTGGTAAATCCTACCGAATCAACTGCATATTGAGCTTATGACTAGTTGGAAATCATTTTATGTGGGATATTCAGATGGAAGAAATCGTCCGAATATCCCGGTATCCTCCGGTACTGACGAGGAGCTACTACTCCGAAACCGTTCTATCGGTGGTCAGCCCAAGCAAACAAAATTGAATTGAACTTTTCATATTATAGGTACGAATAGGTACGATAGAACGAATCTTCCTAATGGAAGACGTCATACAGGTGCCTGATGGTTTTACTTCAGCTTTCCGCGCGGCATTAGCTAAGGTAGTTGTACACCTTCGATAGGAGAACTACAATAATAAGAATATTCATTCATTTCGAAAGAAACAGGCAGAGCCTAGTAATATGTAGCTACAAGTACAATTTTCGATTATACCAAAAAAATTACAGAAAAAGGAAAAATAGGAATATCAGATTACAAAAATTGAACTAATAATGAAAATAATATCGATACAAAAAACCAAGTGAACTGATACGAATGCAGGTCACTGTAGGGGTACATTCACACTCGTCAGCAGAATCAGGAATTGATAACTTATTAGGATTCACCCTCACCCACGAAAAAACCTATATTACATTTTTTACTAGGCACAATTTACCAAACATGAATAGCGTCACAGTTAACAATACCGATCTCCCAGTATTCATCAGGATGGTTAGTGGATTCAAATGCCATATCATATATCAGATTGACAGGTACTCATCCTACTTGAATTTCTTATTATCCATAATATAAAGGTATTGAGCTATCAAAAATCAGCTGAATTATTAACAAGTAGTATGATGGAAAGAGACAGATCAATTATGATGAATCGCAAACGTGAACCAACAATATGTATTGAAGCTGCAGATGTAGCAATATCATTGGGGTGGAGCGGGGGCTGCACTAGTAGTGCAACATTGGTTTGTGAATAGCTATTCAAAAACTTACATAAAAGTGGTGAATAGTTAGTTTTATTATATGCCTGTTGAAAGTATCAACTATGAATGAGAAAATGAATATTTAGAAATGGAATCTCAAAACATCCATCTCTTCCAACGTATGTACACAGTAGGTTCTGGTGAATGCTTGCC